TGCACCGTGCCTGGGGGGCGGGGATCAGGGGTTGGTAATAAAGGGCCCGGTGGGGAGCTGCACCTGCCTCTGGGGTGGAACATGTGGCAGCAGCATCTGGAAAGCAGCAGAGAGAGAGAGAGAGAGAGAGAGAGAGAGAGTCTGTGCTTGTGTGTGTCCATCCGTCCCTGCTGCCTCCTACTGGAGGATCCAGAACTGACCAGCTGTGTGTCAGAGCCCCCCCGGGGAGGGCGATTCCCCTGGCCCCAGGGAGGGGTCGTGAAAGGCAGCCTGTTGTTGTTCCCGGGGAGCGTGGAGGGAGGCAGGTCCCCGGCCACTGACAGGGTTCCTCCCTGCCCCCCAGGAGGAGTCGATCGCCACCTATCCGCCCAGCGGGCCTCACCCCTTGGTGCTGGATGTGGGCGCCTGGGGAATCGACCTGGCGCGCTGCCTGAATCTCACCCTGCTTGTGTTCGACACAACGGTGAGGGGGGCGTCTGGGCGGGGGGGGGAGGGGCTGGGCGCCAGGACGTCGGGTTCTATCCTTGCTGGGGAAGGGGAGTGGGGTGCGGTGGTTAGAGCAGGGGAGTGTGTTTCCTGATTTCAGTCGTCTTGCTTTCCAGGGGAAGGAGAGGAGGCTGCACTACCGAGGTCGCCCCCTGTTGGGTCCCTGCTCCCTGTAGCCCAGCGCCCCCTAGTGCCACCCCGGGGCATTGGGAACAGCCCTGCCAGCCAGGGAGAGCGCCCCCTGTTGGGTCCCTGCTCCCTGTAGCCCAGCGCCCCCTAGTGCCACCCCGGGGCATTGGGAACAGCCCTGCCAGCCAGGGAGAGCGCCCCCTGTTGGGTCCCTGCTCCCTGTAGCCCAGCGCCCCCTAGTGCCACCCCGGGGCATTGGGAACAGCCCTGCCAGCCAGGGAGAGCGCCCCCTGTTGGGTCCCTGCTCCCTGTAGCCCAGCGCCCCCTAGTGCCACCCCGGGGCATTGGGAACAGCCCTGCCAGCCAGGGAGAGCGCCCCCTGTTGGGTCCCTGCTCCCTGTAGCCCAGCGCCCCCTAGTGCCACCCCGGGGCATTGGGAACAGCCCTGCCAGCCAGGGAGAGCGCCCCCTGCTGAGCCACCAGGGAACTGGCCCTGTCCCAAAGGGACCTCTGTGACTCGTTTGCTTTGTAGCTGTAGCCAGTCCCGGGAGCCTCCCGGCCAGGACGAAAGGCACCGGGCAGCGCTCTGACCGCAGCGG